GATTGAAATCATGTTCATGTTCATCTTCAGGTTCATAGTCCTGATCAAAGGCTTCCTCTAAGTAACCTTGTTCCGTGTCATCCACTCCTGCGATTTGATCGCCATCTTGAAATGTCTCCAAATCTCTCTTCGTATCAAAGAATTTCATGGAAGTAACACCTTCGGCAGCAGCCCAAGCTTCAACACGCTGGATTACTTGATTGGTAACGGGTAGTACAACAACCTTGGGTCGAGAAATCATCTTCTTAGTATTGAGGTTGAGCACTCTGTGCCCAGTACGTTGTCCCTTTGTAGGTTCAATGTAGATCGCTTCAATACTTCGTGGTTCCATCGAATTGTTGGAATCCGTCCCAATGGCATGAACATACTGTCCAAGCTCAGCAACCATGTCACTCTTGTAGTTGATATTGACATTATCAATGAGTTGTTGCGGACTGAAATGTGAGGAAATGGGAAAGACATTCAATAGCTCGGCGGCTCGACGTCCAAGACATTCAGTGATTGGCGACTTTTCATCCGTAGTGATAACGCGTTGGGCCGTTGCAAGATCGAACACAACCATGGGGCACTGTGTCATGAGACAAAGAAAGTACTCGCGAAGAGCCCAGGAACCTTTGTCGGCGGCGGCGTCTTCGAGATCTCCAAGTGAGAACAGATTCTGCATGCTGGACCGAAGCTGTGGCATTGAACCGCCGAGTGATGGGTTGTACGCCTTCAGGCCGGTCAGGATGAACGCAGCGATGTCGTCGTAGGTTTGAGCGTCGGAAGTTGGATCCATGTTGACATCGGCCCACCAGCCAGGGCATTTGGAGATTGCCCGACCAGAGTATTCCGCCGTGCGAGAGGACCAAGTAATAAATGCCTGGTTTCCGAAAACCTCTTTCCTCCAAGCCTTCTTGTAGAGCCTGTGTAACTTTGACACCTTGAGTTTCTTGTTGTAGGCAACGAGCGGCCGTCCTTGCACTGCGCCATCCTCGGCGGTTTTGGAAGGAGGGGGTTGCTTGCGTTGACTCTTGGTAGTCGTGGGATCAGGATTATCCTTAGTGAGATCGATCGATGAAGGAGTGGTAGAGTTTGATCGAGCTTTGGCCGTGAGGCCAACCTGACCTTGCGCAACTTCAGATGGGAAGAGCGAGCAACCTGTCATTGCGCCATCCTTGGCGGTTGTTGAAGGGTTTCGCTTGCTGATGCGCTTGGGAGTCGTGATGGCAAGATTGTCCTTTGTCAGAGCAATCGACAATTGAGTGGTCAAATTTGTTCGGGTTTTTTCCTCGAGACCTCCCTGACCTTGGTCAGCTACAGTCATGATCGAATTCGGGTCCTTCTCCGGCGGGTTGGTGATGCTATCCTTCATGATGGCTTAAATTTATTTCCTGTTTCAACAATAACAACTGTTTTCCTGTACGTACGAAACGCGTAGGACTGGTACAGTTTTGTTTTGGAGAAGTGTGTGGAAAAATATTTTCTACCTTTTAGTGTTTTATTTTTTATTTTTGAGTTTTATAATAGACTGGAGGCGGAAATCTTCCTAGAAACTCTGCTGCCCATGTTAGTGTGCATATCGAGCTCTTTCTCAGCTTGACGTAGTCCAGGCATGAGTTCACCATTACAAATGGTGGTGTTGGTGCAACCTCTGTCCATGATGACGTGATCGAGCAAACCAAACGGATCTCTTTCCACTCTGCGGCTTTGAATAAACTGCATACCTCGATCTGCTTCAGTAGCAAGATCAGGCAAGTCTTCACTTTCACTAGCGTAATGCCAGTCGGATTGAAGTTCGACGTTAGTCGTTCTAGTAGGACATGGAATAAGATAGACATCATTGCCATTCTCATCCTTTCCCTTGATAGCATCGTGGAAGACATTTGACGTATCAAAATAGCCAGTCTTCACAACTTGCGGAGTTCGAGCTTGAGTTGCATCTAATCTTTGGCGCACTTGAGCACCACTGAAGCCTTGTTGGCTGAGTTGCATTCCACTGAACGCAATCTCACCGTTAGCATTCATAGAATAAGGGACAGTAACAGTGCCGCCACCTTGAGTTGGAATCTGCATGAGCTGCATTCCCGAAGGAACTTGCATCATTTGATTACCTGTAGGAACTTGGATCATTTGATTACCTGTAGTACCAGCAGGTCGCAAAGGTGTGTTAACACTTCCCGCAACACTCAATGTTCCACCAGTGATCACACTTGTCGCTGGAGAAGGTCCAGGAACTGTAGCTGGGACAGTTGCTCCAATCTGATTAAGATTTAGCTTCTTCCCGTAATCAACATAGCGTTTCGGATGCTTCCATTGACTCTCTGGTAGCAGTCTGTCTGGGCATTTTGGAGACATATGGTCCTCTTTGCCACATACATAACATGCCGCCTTTTTCTTATCGTCCTTTGGTTTACCTTTACCTTTATTTGGCTGGTCTTTTGCTTGGTAAAGGTTCACTCCCGGAATCTTGATCACATCCATGTGGATATTCAACATATCTTGTGCTTTGCCTTTGCTGACCGTCTTTGGATAATCTGATTAATTGCCATCAAAAGGAGAAGGAAAACATTTCGAGTTTTCGTAAACGATTTGAAGAAAGGGCGAAGGCATTGCAAGCTTTGCTCGGTGATGATTTTTTGGACAAATTTACTGAGAAGAGTCAGGAATATGATTTATTGGGAAGCAATGCTGAACGATCCCAACACAAGAAGGAATCATGGGAAAGATTCATGGCAAACGAATTTCTGTATAATTCCGATAGAGCCAAGTATCAATCAAGAATTGATGGAATGACGGCGCAGTACACGTTGAAGCATCTGGATTTCAAACAACGTTGTACATTTCCAACTACTTTGGAAAATGCTGCTGATGTTTTGAATCAACATAAACACGATAACAGGAAGAAGAATTCGAATGGAGGAAATTCGAATGGACAAGGCAAACAAAACAAGTCAAACAACAATCAAAATGACGGAGCTCAGTTTACGCAACAACAAACTCGAGCGTGTTTTGTATGCGGATCAAAAGATCATGTCGCACCTCAATGTGCGGACAAATTGAAGCCTCGGGAAAAATGGAAAAACCCGGACAAATATAGGGATTATTCGGAGAATGGTCGTGGTAATCGACAAAATATGCAACGTGATGAAAATGCAACGCGTGATGATGATGAATCGGGTGATTCAAACACTCAATGGAACTATGGACGTTCCAACAATGGATCCCATGGAGGACAATTTATTCAACGAGGACGAACGGATGATGATCCAAGACCACAAGGGATAATGTTATTCCAACTCAACAACTATCGCGGTATCCACTTGGACAGTGGATCTACTTTTCATTTGCGAACCAATGAAGATGACTTTAAAGAAGGAACTCTGCAAGGAATTGATGGAGGATTTCATTATACCTCTAATATACAGGGAAGAAGACTTTATCGAGAAGGCATCGACAACATATTTGACTCTGTGTGTAAGCTTGACACACAAGCTAGCGACAACGTCAACAGTTTGTCGAACATGGTAAAAGATGGATTTGATGTACTTATGGACACAAAGAGAGAGAACAGCTTCTTTGTGACCAGAAACGGGACTACATGGCGATTTGGACATCGCGATGGATTATATACTCTGGTGGACGAACCTGCTGTGGCAACAGCAATGTTCCATAATCATGCACGTGGAATTGACAATGCTGGAGTAGACCCACGCTTTGATATTGAAATTGAAAGATACAAAGGAATGGCATTCATCCTACAACGTGATAGGATTAATATGGGAGAACCGATGAATGAATATTATGATTTATGGAAATGGACGAAATTTGCTCAATGGTGTTATGAACTGGCTAAAGACCGACGATGGGATTTCGATGGCTTAGATATCTTTGCCAGACTACCGGATACATTTGCTGAAGAAGCAAAACGACGAGGTATTCTAAAAGATTTTCATGAATGGACGGATGGAAGAGGATTTATATTTGATGAAGTTCCTGCTGGCATGGAACTAGATCAAATTCACATAGTACCTAATAATTTAAATGATGATATGGAAGGG